CCACTGTTATCCTCCATATCGTCTTAGGGTTGCTAATTTTCCTCTTTTCCTGTGGCGCCCATAAGAGTGCCTTTCTACAGTGACTGTCTGCATCCATTTTTAGGACGTGGTTAATCTATCCTCAAGATCATCCTTAGGCACTTGGGCTGGAATATATCAAGACGTTTCCTATCGCTCATGTTATCTTCCTTGTCTCAGATCCGTAAAGTAGTACTGATTTTAGGCCTACGAAGATGTTGCAGAACCTAATTTTGGTTTAATAAGTATATATATTTGAGCTTAATGAATAATGTTCTGGCTTTATTAATTCTGTTGTTTATGTCTTCATTGCCACCACCTTTATTGCTTTAAAATATAGTCTCAAGGTAAGTAAATCTCTCAACTTCATTCACTTCTTCTTAATCACTAAACTTTAATTATCCTTTTGACTTAGAAAACTTCGCTTTCTTTCAATTTACTTTGAGACCTGTTTGTTCTGAGGTGTTATTTAGTCTTGTGAGTTTGTGTTGGGCCTAACATCATTTGCAAAGTCTCAGTCATGAAGATGGGACATGAAACGCCATGATGCCATTGTGTGCGGTAGTGTTTGCCTTCCTAAAGATTCAGTCAATTATAACCCAGATATTTACACCCCAGTACAGTGTTTGAATCAAAGTTATCAACTTTTCATAGCATTTCGCTATCTTCCATAGACTTTCGCGATGAAAAGACTCAAAAGCCTTTTTGTAATTTACAAAAGGGATGTCGATTGCCATTCTAACGACTGTTCAATGACATTGCAGATAATGAAGATTGGCTTCTTCCTTTAATCTCGCTTCTTCATTTCTTAGCACTTACTTAGTACAGATGTTAGGGTGATTTCTCTCTAGTGGCTCAATCTATGAGGTTGCCACTCTTTGGAATCTTCATTATCATGCTTTTTCTCCATGTCTGCCACTTCTTCGTTGTCTCAGATCAGTCGGAAAATTTCGTCAAGCCAACTGACTTTGTGTTTAAATCGGCCTTCAATAAATTCAGGTAAAATCTCATTTTTTCCTGTAGCTTTGCCTTCTTTAAATATGTTGATGACATCTCTTATCTCTGCATTTATTTCATATCCTGTGTTGATGTCTTCCATTTCACAAACACAATTTGTTCGTCATCATCACAACTGCATCTTTTGGTGGGGTACGGTTGAGAATCTCTAAACATTATTTTCGACTCCTTCGATTTAATTTCGGTTGTTTCCTCTTTTCTACCACCACCTCCCATCTGTCATGACTTATTTATGGTTTCTGTCCCTTTATTATATCCTAAGACTACTGCTACAGTTTGTATGCAACTTCAAATGCTTGCAAATGTCTTTCTATTGCTTTCAATGTGCACATTTTTCTTTGGTTAATTTGAAACTTTGCCCGTTCTAGTTGGTGATCGCTAGCAAAACCTGCTCCTCTCACGGCTCAGGTACTTCCATTTTGGGTTGACAAAATATTATTTATACCAGTTTCTGTAACATAGTGTTTTTTTTTCAGGAAGAGTTGTTTGCCAGCCACTAACCCCCTAAGGTGGAGGCCTAGTTTTTTTTCAGGAAGGGTTCTTGGCCCGACGCTAACCACTAAGATGGAGGACACTGTTGCTGGCGTATTGTCTGACCCTTCCGTTTGGACCTGTCCGGCTTGGATAATTCTGCCCGGCATAGCTCCCTGGATTATGCAAACCTCACTAGCACGTCATAGCACCAGCTCAGTGAGTTAAAAATAACTTTCTGAAAAAGTAACCTAAGTTATATGAAACTAATGGTAGGTATTATTATTATTATTGTTATATTGTGTACAGGAAATCTTCACAGACGGCTCGTCATTCCTTTTCAAAGCTACGGGACGTAGAGTTTATTGGAAGACAATAACGATACTTGTACCTCAGTCATGGCCTCATCTCGCGGAGTATGAACCAGCAAAAACAGAAACCTTCGACAGAACAAATGTCCGCATAGCTAAAGGAGAATCACCAAGCCCGTATGCACGCCTTACTGAAGGATGTGGTAAACAGGGACAGTATATCAACTTAACGCCGCAGTACGTGCGAGATAAAACATATGCTGTGAAAGGATGGGGTCCTAGAGGTATTGTATGAATGTAATCCACTATTCTCTCCATTTCTTACCTTTGATTAGAATTTCTAGATAAGATAAATAAATAAATCAATTATAGATAATTTTTTTAGAATTGGAACTTTCCTGTAGCACTTGCAGTTCCACGGTCATGTGAAGCATCTATATTTGTGATTGTTTGCTCCAAATACTGGTGTAAGTCCATTACATTTCCAATGTCTTCTCAAGCTATTCTTACTAGGTATAATTTGTCTACAAATTTGTTTTCATCAAACAATTGACACTTTTTTTTAGGGATATTATTTAGTCCATATTTTCTGCAGGTATCAAAGATAATTGTCAAGATTTCAGGGACACTTTTTGAGAATAAGACAACTCCAAACAAGATCCACTTTATTATTTCCATTTTATTTATCTGTTTAGCAACTATTTTTCTGGTGACTGTAAATTCATTTGGAATACTGTATTGAAGCCAATACTTCAACCATCGGGAAATTCGATTTCTGATGCAATAATATCACAATTTTTGATTTCAAGGGGAAAAACACAATTAAAAAGGCAGGGAGATTCTTGACTACTTGCACTTAACTTTATGTCGAAGAGAGCTTGCAAACCGTTGATGCAAGCTTTTGTCCCATTATCCATAGCTGGTAATAATGAAAAAAAAATGTGTGCAGCTTTTGTTCCGAGTATTAGGACTTTGCACAGCATGGTATGTGGGTGTATGCAGCAGTAGGATCCATGCATGTTGTACAAATTGTACCTTGATGCTTCTCATTAGGGGGCCGGGGTGTGTTGGGAGTCATTTTGTGACCACATCCACCTTTTCTCACCATGGTTGGGACTGAGGTGCGGAAATTTAAGGAATCTAATTATTACGAATGATGTACCATAAACAAAATTAAAGAAACACTGTCTTTGATGTATTTACTATACCTACTTCAACATAGCAAGTCCACATCCACCTCAGGCCAACCATGCTTTGGGCTGATGTGGCCGAAAGTTTTATATAGTAAAATTCATTATAATCACATCACCATTATACAGTATAGTCATAATGAAGTGCTAACACATTCTCATGCTCTCTTATCAGCGATTTTCGGCAACCATAGAGATTTTATTATTATGTGTGATGTACCATAGAAAATACAAATTTGTATATACAACATTGTTTTTGATGTATTTACCTTTACCTACTTCAAAACCTTCAGTCCACACCCATCAAAGCCCCAACATACTTGGGGCTAAAGTGGGAGATTTTAGGGATACAGCTCCTCTAGACTGCCGGAAATAATACTCTTGTATAGCGAAATTCATCATCAAATAATCGCTGTGATGCACCAATTGTTTTTGATGTATTTACTTTACTTTACCTACTTTATGTGCCGAAACCAATCTTATCTTTCTTTACATGCTTTTTCTCATACTTCTCAAATTATAATAAAGGAAAGCGCACTTGAGTCATGTATTATAGATAAATCAGATGTGTATGGGCAGAGATACTGGTATTTTGCTATGAAATAAAATATTCTCTGGCTGTATATTTATAGTGTTTTCATTTGTTTTTAAATGACTTGTTTTTACTATGTAGGTTATGTATTTTATAATAAAAATAAAGAGAAATCAAATAAATTCAATTCAATTTATTCAATACAGCGCTCTTTCGTTAAAACCTGGGTCATTTACGCAGTTCATTTCAACATTTTTGTCTTTTCTTGACCAAAAATACATTGCGGACAAAGTGATTGGGCCAACCCCCATTAAAAATATGTGGGGGTGTGGTGGGAGAAGAATGTGTGTGGGGAATGTTTAGGGTCCTTAAGTTCAGCAGGAGTACTAATGTGTTCAGTTGGACCTGCAAAATGTGATTTTGAAATGGTCTCTTAGTTTTTTCTTCTGAATTTTAAAATTATTGGATTTTGTAGGTCATTTAATAGGCCCATTCACTGTAATAAGAATGAGAAAAAGTTATCTGACTGTTTTCAAGAGTGGAAAACCGTGAAGAACTTAAAAGTCATTAAAAGACCCTTCAGAAGTCGAGAAAGCTCAACATTTTCCCGGTGAGAACCCCAAATCTCTTTCTCTTTGGGGTTCATCGAATATTTTCAAAAGGGGGAAAACCTTAAATTTTGAAGAATTTAAAAGTGATTAAAAGACACCACAGAAGTCAGGAAAGCACATTTCCTGCCATCAGGAATCAAACTTTTCTTAGACCCCCCTCTTTATCTTTGGGGTTTATGGATTCATGGAAAAAAGAATACGTATGCAACTACTCATTTGTTTTATGTAGGTATACACACATAATAGGCCTATTTAGTGTAATAAGAATGAGAAAGTTTACCTGACCGTTTTCAAGAGGAGGAAACCTTAAATATTGAAGAACATAAAATTAATTAAAAGACAACTCAGAAGTCGGGAAATCTCATTTCCCTCCATCTAGGAATCAAAATTTTCCATTGGAGAACCCGGACCCCCTTTCTCTTTTGAGGTTCATCGATTCATTTAATCGTTTACAATATTTTAAACCCCCTACATTTCAACCCAGATCCGCCCCCTGAGAACAGGTCTAGCTTTTTCAAAGCCAAAAACAATATATCCAAACCTATTTATTACCTTAATTTGTGTAAATTTATCTCCCACAATAATTCATCTCTTAACAGGTTATAACCAAAGCCACTACTTTACAAAAAGAGATACATTAAAACTTTCATACAATTACACAGTACATGCAACTCTATAATCAGCACAATTTTATTTCCACTTATAGATAAGTTAATAGTACATGAATGGGCACATTTCCGATGGGGTGTTTTTGATGAGTACCCATATGAAAACGACGATAAATTTGTTGTGAGCAAAAAGAAGATCGAAGCGACACGCTGCACAAAGTCAGTTAGTGGTGTTTATAGAGACTATTCAAGATCGGATAGGAAATGTCAATTAGACCCGAAAACCGGAGTGTACACCAAAAGTTGTAAGTTCGAAGATGACAATTCACAGACGCAAAGAGCTGAGACTTCAATAATGTACAAACAGTTTTTACCTTCGGTAAAGTTGGATACAAATTTGTTAATGTTTTGGATCGTAACCTACTTTTAATAATTTACATATTATAGACCTATGAATTATAGATAAAACCTCTGACTACCTCGTCGTGACCATAAACATTGTATTTCAGATAAACTTTTTTTGCAATGGAAATGAAGTTAATCCTGATAAACGTCATTTTGCGGAAGCACCTAATCGGCATAATAGGCTTTGTAAGGGGAAAAGTATTTGGGATGTAATGCTGGGTACAGATGATTTCAAAAACAGTAATAACCCACCGAGAACAGTTAGTACCACAACGCCAACGTTTCGAATTGTTCAAGCTACAACAGCACGACGCGTTGTACTGGTCCTTGATACCTCAGGGAGTATGGAGGTAAGTATAAGGGATATTGAAATTTATCATTGGCCTATATATGAGGGCGAGAAACCAGTTGAGAAACTGTCCTTGTTGGTTGAATTGTATCTGCGATCATCGGCCAGGGCCCTTGCGGTCAAGCGATGGAACTGTCTTCTTTGACAGCGAGGGATCATCAGGGGTAGTCTTAGTCAAACAACTGATAAGGGACTTTTCGTTGATAGGTTATGCTCGTTATGACCTTAATATCATTGTATTGTTAATTTGAGCACTGACACCACTATTTGATTATTTCACAACACAGAGCTTCGTAGATATCGATTAAATAAGCCTTTAAAAACATTAAATTGTCAAAATTTAAAAACTGTCGAAACCTTTTAATCGAAGCTCGACCACACCCACTTTGCTTTCGTGGGGAAAATCTGACCCCTCGTCGGGGGCATCGACCCCCTAGCCGGGGGTGCCCTCGAAATGATTTCGTTTCCTCGAAATATTATCTCGTTCCCTCGAAATATTATTTCGTTCCCTGGAAAAAGTTTAATATTTTCTTTAACCATGTCCCTTTAGGGGCTCCGTAGTTATTTACTTGTGTGGTTTTTTCGGTAGGGTGATCCTTTAATGAAACTTCGTCAAGCTACAACTCACTATCTTGAGTCCACCATTTATATTGGTAGCTACGTTGCCATTGTTGGGTTTTCTTCATCTGCTTACCAGCTTGCACCGCTTACACTTGTGGCTGATGACAATTCTCGAGCACGACTTACCGGGGCATTGCCTTCAAATGCTAATGGCCGTACAAGTATTGCTTCAGGTGTTCGTATGGGAATACAGGTAAGTACTTGGCTTATACAAAGATTATAAAAATGATGTACATGCACATACTATTCACACCAACATGTATGTACCAAAACGTATATGTATGTATATAAAAGAATATAGGAGACTAACCATGTATAAACTTTAGAAACACTTTATTAGATATTTCGAACTATCCTTAGGTCTTTATCAAGGTACATTGATAAAGACCTAAGGACCTAAATATCCCCGGGAGGGTGGAGCAAATCTTCTGGAAGCTCTGACAAATTAGCATTTTGAGGGCCTTTTTTAATGGATTTCTAAAATCCATAATTTGTAATATCCTATTTAAATTTTCATTCATTTAAGTATTGTCTGGGGACCTATTAAAAAGTCCCTAGACAATACTTATAATAGAAAAGCAGGAGAAATAGAGGGTGGGGGTGAAGGGAGGAACTTGAACAGACAGATGGTCAATACCACCTCAGCCCCACCATGGTTGAGGCTGAGGTAAGAAAATTTGTGATTATGGCACATCAAAATGGCCGGAAATGGCACTCTCAGACAAACTTTAATTATTTTTCTTTTTTCTTCATTTCTTTTATACTTTTAGGGTGGGGGGGGGGGGGGGTCTTC